AAAATACCTTTTTCACCTTGGGGGAAGTTTTGATGTTGTATTTCTTGTTTGGGTAGAACTTTAGTTTTAGGAGAAGATAGAATACCCCTGGCAACTTTTCTAGGGTTGGACTAGAAGATTATCCTAACTCACAGTGATCTCTTTCAAGAGTTTTGATTTGCTCTAAGGGAGAACAATGCTCAGTAATTCTGCTGCAAAAATCAATTTCTGGTTATTTCATTTTTCTCATCTTCCTGGTTGTTTATAAGAGTCTTACTGACTATATTAATTTACTCTTTTGTGTATGAGCACTATTATTTCCTCTGCTTTTTCTTTCACTCTGCACAGCTGAGGATCAGGTTATGAGGATGTGATTGTTCATCAGTTGTAGGGATGAGTTCTTGATCCAGTCTGATTTAACATTGTCATTAATTATGAAAGGACTGCATGAAGGCAGAGGTGGCACCAAATCCATATGGATTCCTGTTTAAAAAAACTGCCCAAATGAGTCAATAGAGTTAAAAATAGGCAGAGTAAGTGAGACTCATCCTTGAAAAAATCAGGCTAGTACCATGGGAATAAAATAATTGGAATTCTAGATGTTTGATATGAAAGAAAAGCTTGGAAAGAAGATAGCAAGAGAGACCTGTGGCTTTCAGTGAATGGCCAGTCATATTAGAGCTTGTGTACATCAGTGCAGCCAAAGAAAGTAAATGTTTTGGCCATATATGTAGAGAAATTACACTGTGAAAAAGAGAGGCAATACTTGGCCGTGGCCTTAGACTCAGTCTAGAGTGCTAAACCAAATTCCGGGTGTATCTCTAAAAGAAGAGTTTAATGGAAAGCTTTCTTTGCTTTTTTCTTTAGTTTTTCTGTCTTACTGATTAGCTTCCTTCTTATTTAAATGGTCTTTCTCAGGTTATAGTATCTCTAGGCAAGTTCAGAAAGCAAATGCAAGAGAAGCATTTACTGAGTGTGTAGTTTGATACTTTCCCTGGCTTTTGCTTTGTACTTTCCATTACTATGTGTGATACCAGACAGTATTAAAAAGATTTTCTCAAATCACCTTTGCCTGTTAGTCAGATTCTGGGGTACCTGGTCTCGTATGCTCCAGGTCCCTTTCAGAAAAACTCATGGAGTGCATGCAAATTAAACACTGGTTATGCTATTTTGTGTCAGGGTCTCAGTGGAAAAATGCATTACATTTGGAGTTATGGTAAACTTGATCTAGGCTGGGTGATGTATTATATTGAAGAAGGTTGGTGGTAGCCTTTGCAAGCACAGCATGCCATAAGGACAGCGTTAGGATGTGTCCTGAGGTAAGGAATTAGACCGACTACTTTGCTGCCCTTTTTATGGGACCAACTGAGACATCATCGTGCAGTCTCAGCTTTATTCCCAAGCACAACCTTTTCTGGATTCACTGGAGCAGTCACTGTGACAGCAATGGAGTTGTTGAATCAGGGTAAGGTGTGGTTATATTTGTTTGTGGAGTTCTGATGGCTCAAGTGTATTTGTAGATCATCTAGTTTGTAAAGGCTGCAGTTATTTATCATAGTCTAATTTTCCCCCTTTTTTTTTTTCAGTTTGATAACATGTTTAATAAGCTACTGGGTAATGATGAAGAAACCCAGCCCAGTCTATTCATTTGGGTAAGTACTAATAATAAGATCTGGTGTTTGATAATGCAACATCTAATATGTTGCTGACTATCACTGCCTGGATCCCCTAACAGCCATGAGTAATAATTCGTGTGTGAAAGAGCCCAAAAATAAGGAGGGCCAAGACTGATGATGTAAAGAACAGTTACAGAGTAGGGGAGGGACGGGAAGAAGAATTAAGAAATACTTAATTTTAAGCTGTATCTGGTAAGTGGAGTATTTGACTTAAACTGAAAATAATGCCCACTCTGTAAAACTTCCAGTTTCTTCCCATCTGTCTGCTCTTGAGGGAATTGGAAAGAGTAGGTCTATCCTGCTGGGTACTGTATGGAAAAGAGTCCGTTTGATGCATTGTTCGTTGTTCCTAAACTTAATTCTCAAATTTCAGGTTTGAAAGGTTTGAAGTTCTAGCCGTATTTGCATCTACAGTTCTGGCACAGCTTGGTGCTCTTTTTATACTAAAAGAAAGGTAGGTTGTGTACTGTTTTCTTTAACTTTTTGTAATGGATGAAAATATTCTTCGCTAGAGGGGGTGGTTGGGTGCTGGAACAGGCTCCGCAGGGAAGTAGTCACAGCACCAGACCTGACAGAAGCGTTTAGTTGATACTCTCAGGCACATGGTGTGACTCTTGGGGATGGTCCTGTTAATGGCTAAGAGTTGGACTCTTGATGATTTTTGTGGGTCCCTTCCAAATCGGCATATTCGGTGAATCTGTGATTCTGTGATATGGTCCAGATAGAGCAAAAGCGTATGCATTCTACTATTTTAGGGATATTTTAGGAAAAACTTCTTTTAGAAAAGGATTTTTTAGAAAAAATTTCTTTAAAATATTGCTAAACCCTACCACTTACATTTATTATGCTACATGTAGGCTTTAGATGTAATGATAGGAATTGATAAATATAATTAAACAGCTCTCAAGAGAAAGATTCAATGTCTTTAAGAATATATTTTTTCCAAAATGTTTGGTAATTAACTTGGTGCATTTCCTTATGCATCTTCACTTTTTAAGTTCATTAACAAATAAAACTTTTTTTAAATTATTTTTTTCTGTTTTACTTCTGTTAGTGAAGTAAAGCAGCTACGTAATATATTAAGGATCTGAATGTTCAAACTATCAACTGCTTCACTCCCTCAAAATTTGCTCATATATTAATTTGACATACCATCTGTGCTTGGAAGCATTTCTGTTTCAGGAGGCTAGCCTAAAAAATTATTTTAGTGATTAAAAATGAAGAGGCTTTTGTTAATATCTGGAATGTAAAACTGGGGCAGTGTACCTTCCCTTTTTCTATCCAAGGGCTTGATTTTCTATATAAACGGCTGCATTAACAACTTAGCGATTTTGCACTGTAAGGTTGACCTGTTGTACTGACAGTACACTGGAATGGACCCACTGTCAAAACCTCCAAATTTTCCAGCATCAAAGCAGATCATAGTTTTTTCTGTTACATCTCATTTGGTAATTTACTGGTGGGTAAAAAAAAAAGACCAGTATCTCTACCACAGTGTCCAATGTCTACTTTATTTGACCTTACTTAGTGAGAGGCTGTAAGTCAGAAGTTTCAGACTTAGGTTTTTGTGGTCACCAACTGTGGTGGCAGCACTCATGGTAGCTAGCACCTATGTGGCACAGTTTGGAAATATTTGGAAAATCTAGATCACATCTGCTTTGATTCAGTGTTAAATGCTGTCAATGCTTTTAAAAATTGCTGTGTTTATTTAAGCAGTTCATTTTTTTTCAATACTGTATCCATTAGTTTTTGTTTATGAATGGCATATTCAGAACTATAAAAGTACGCTTCAGGTTTCAATATTCTACTGTATGAACATAACTCAAATTTTCAATTATTTTTGTAGTGCAGAGCGATTTCTGGAACAGCCTGAGATACACACGTAAGAAATTATTTTGACATGTAAAATGTGTCTGTGTCCCTTTATGTTTCTAATTCTTAATCTATCGTGTACTAGTTATGTAAGTACATTCAACACCAAATTGCTTTTGCTACCTTGGCATTTATTTCAAACTATGTTTCAAGTATTACAAACAGTTTTTTCAAGGTACGATTGAAATGTAATTCTGATGCTCTCTTAAATAATGATTTAACTATATATCACTGGTTTTTCTAGTTTAGTTACTCTCATTTCTTATCGAGGCCTCTTAGGAGGCCTGCTATGTTGAGGGGAAGGATGCTGTGGTCATGAGGGAGCTGAAGGTGTTGCAAAGGTCATGAAGACTCTAAAGAACGTGTGGAAAGGAAAAGAAGGTGTTACATGGTGAAAGTCTGGGGCATGGGATGTATGGTGAAGTTGTAGTTCTAGAAAAAGGATAGGGGCATACTGTAGGAAACTAATGTTTTTAGCTGTGCTGATGAGGGGACAATTTATTCATATCTTCAAAGGACAAACGTATGTAATTAGTTAAGAACTGTTACTCAACCTTAGGTACAGCCTAATGTGATAGCAGTAATGTACAAAGGTCAGTGATCTCATGTAACCCTTACAGTGGTAATACACTGCCAGTTATTAAGCATTACACTAGTTTATCTTACTCTTTGTTTTCATCCTCAGTGAAAGATACCAAGCGAAGTATTTTGGTATTGTTTCTAGTAATTACAGCTTGATGTAATAACTGTAGTTTTACCATACATTTATGTATATTTATATATAGTTTTATATAGCTTAATATAGTTTGTGATGGTATGAAATTAAGATACTTATTTTCTCCTCCCTAGGGGACGACTGCTGGTTGGTACTTTCGTGGCCCTCTTTTTCAACTTATTTACAATGCTTTCCATTAGGAATAAGCCTTTTGCTTATGTCTCTGAAGGTATGTGATTAATTAAACCATAACAACAACCGAGATAAGATCTTAATGTTCATATTTTTATTAAGGTGTAACTTGTCTGGTAACTTTCTTAACTAGGGGGCATACATTGCTATTATAACCTCATGCAGTTTAAAATTGCCATCTGATTTTCAACTCCAGGTTGCTTATAAGGCTCTGAGTAGAATGTACTCATTAATATGATAAGTTAAGGGCCATTTTAATGTTGAAGTTCCCTTTATTTTCAGTCTTTTGGATTCAACCAGTGAAGGTCATCTGACAGCAGAACTTGGAAGACATTTTATGGCTATATTAATGGATAAAAATAATGTAATAATTCTTCTTAACAGCTCTTTTACCTCTTTCATTGTGAATTGGGCTTGCATTCATTCCATCTAACTGTAAATTGCCTATAGTAACAATTACATATTATACATTATACTTCATCTTATACAAAAGATAATGGTTATAATCTGCAATTATATTTGTATTTAATCCCTTCAAATTATTACAAGATGCGTGTTTTACTTACTGCCTGGAAAAGAGTTTGGTTTTTTTCATGTGCCAGTGAATCTGTTGAGATACATTTACTCCTTCACAGTGTTTATTGGATTCTTTCCTTAAAATAAAACTTATGTACTTAAAAATGGATACCTTTACTTGCGGTAACTTTATTACCCTCTTTTTTTTTGCAGCTGCCAGCACAAGTTGGCTTCAGGAGCATGTTGCAGATCTTAGTAGAAGGTAAAGCTTTTATATTGTTTTTCAAAATTGTTAACTTCTAGAAGGCAATGTTGGTTTTGTGTGTATAATAACAATTTGGGTAGGTGTTGTGGCATAAACTGTTGTATTAGAGCTTTTAAAATAGCTTTACCTAGTGTAGATTTAATGTATGAACTCTAGAGCAAACACTCTCAGATTTCTCAGATGCATCAGTCTAACAGAAAAATACCTTCCTGGATATATTTCCTTTTGAATGTATGTGTTCAGTACGTTGTATGTGATTCTCCTTGAATGAGATGAGAAAAACTAGCATTATCTTGTACATACTTGAACTGCGTTTCTCAGCATTCATTACCTGAGTGATACATTTTGTAGTAATTTGTGTTTATTTACTGTGTGGGCTGGGGAAATGACTGAGATGGTTAAGTTTAAATATGATACATGAAATAGATTACTCACAGAAACATAGCTATGGAAACTCCTCATCTGTCCAGCAGGACACTGGAAATTCTGTGTCTTCCAGGGACAGAAGCAGTGTTGCTCATTCATCATGTCTGTTAATTCTCTTGCTTGTGTTGGATATCTGAATGCAAGATAACATTGTTTGCAAATAATCCTGTCAGATGTCAAAAAAGGTTATTTTAATGCATACATGTTCTTCCAAGTATCTGTCAGTATTGAAATAAGAATGTTAAACCATATTGTAAAACATGTTAACTATGCTTCAAAGTCCATCTGTTTCTGGGTGTTGTGATCTTTTTACAGTTGAGGAAAGCAGAGAACGCTGACTTGTTAAACAGAAGAATTTATATTATATGGGCATCAGACCCAAATTCTGCAAAATAGTTTTGGAAGACTCATAATTGGGTTGCCCAAGTACCTCGAGTTTGAATATAAAGAAGAAAAAAAAAAAGTTGGATAGAAATCACAGACAGTAGCAGAGTTTTTCTTTTGTTAGTGTAGAAACACAGTGTGATGGGGAAGGACCATTTATGGGTAACTTGAAGGGGTCTGAGATCGAGAGTGTAGAATTATTACAGGGTTTTGAGTTAACCTGTATGCAATTATGCCAATAATAATAATTTAAAAAAAAATAGTATGTATTCAGCTATTTTAGATGCCTTATGTGGAGCAGTGCTGATTACAAATTATCTGCACCTGTATATAATTATGTTGATTAAGATTCTTACAGGAGCAGGCAAGCACATGATGTCTAAACATAGGTTGGCTCTAAACAGAACAACAAAATATTTCATGTTGTCCCTGCCTTTAAAATTTTCCATGACGTGACATGCAGTTGTATTCACTGGGAAGTACAGAACCTCCTTTCTCTCTTCATACTCCCATTGATAGGAGGTAGCTGTAAATAAATAACTTTTCCCAGTGTTCCCTCATGGGTTTTTTTGGTCTCCTCTTATTTAGCTAGCTGGTCTCCTTCCCCTTTTCAGACTCCATGAGTTAGTTAGCTTTGGCTTTAGAACACTTTTGCACATTAAGTTGGCAGATGGATTGTAGACTAGTGATATGCAAACCCCTCAAGACTTAGCCATATGTAGGAACAGTATCGGAACCTGTGAAGTACTTGTGTTGCATATGGCTGACACAGCCAGCTGAGTTACCAGAAAACAAAAAAAAACTGGCACAAGATATGTATTTTAACATGTAGAAAAACTGCATAAAGATAAGCATAATATAATGTTTTGTAGATGAGGAGATAGATTAAAGGCAAATTTTTTTTAAGATGGAAGAGTCAGGTATTAAATATGGGAGAGAATGTGACATGGATCTAAATTTGATTAATCTTTGCTGACAGCAGCCTTTAAGCAGAATTAGAAGGGCCTTTATAGTACTCATCATATGCTGTGACAGCAAGGTGTGTTTGAAGTCCAGTGCTGAAATAGTGGGTGTAACTTTGGGGTTTTGAAGTAATAATGGTGAACAGCTGGCTGACAACTGCTTTTCCTGCTTTGTTACAGTATTTGTGGAATCATCCCAGGATTAAGTAGCATCTTTCTGCCACGGATGAACCCTTTTGTCTTGATTGATATTGCTGGAGCTCTAGCTCTTTGCATTACATATATGCTCATCGAAATTAAGTACGTACAGTTGTTGTTTTAAAAAAAGTAACTTTTTGTATCCAGTCTGTGGGAAAATCCATTTTTTACATGAAAGGAATGATCTCATCTAGAGCTGTATTCTGTATGAATGGCATTGCAGCTCCACAGATGCGTTTGTCTATTTTCCAAGATGTATAGTTCAAATGAGATTATGTACGTATAATATTCTGTAGCTGTATATAGCTTAAAAGAATGAAAAAGAATCATGAGAAAGTTATTCTGCCTTTCAAAAATGTAAATAGGAGTTTTTATTTAAAATTGCTCTTTCTCTCCAGCAATTATTTTGCTGTAGACACAGCGTCTGCTATAGCAATTGCTCTGATGACGTTTGGTACCATGTATCCCATGAGTGTCTACAGTGGGAAAGTGCTGCTCCAGGTAAGGCACTGTCACAAAACAATGGGTTTTGTGGTTTCAGTTTTGTTAAATGTCCTCATTTAAAAAAATAAACAAACAAACAAACCTTAAAGTCTGTTTTAAACGTGAATAGGAAGTGTTCCCATGGAAATTTGTGATGTGCTATAAGAATTTTAAGGGTAGTGGAAATATGCATCATGAAGTCATAAGACTTTATTGTTTAATGCCATTGGTTTCTTGCATAGGTAGACCAAACTTAAAGACTTTCTTATTTAAACAGGGCCAGTTAGTCTTTATTATAACTTTTTCTTTTTTTTGTCCTCTTCTTTTTTAAGACAACGCCACCTCATGTGATTGGCCAGTTAGATAAACTTCTTAGAGAGGTAAGCCAGTGTATAATACATAGCACAGAGTGCACAGCTAACTAAATAAGCATTCAGGATTATTAAGAGTTTTTCTGAGTAGTCCAAGAAGATTGCTAAAAAATTATTTTTCTAATATTATTTTTCAACTGCATGTAGAAAATATGAAACTTGCTTTCAAAGATTTATAGTGAAATCCAGGTGTCTGGAACAAATCTGTTTAAGTAGTGAAGTCTGTTTTTATTTAAATTTGAGCTACCACTGAAGTGGTTTACAAATATGAGTTAGGGGAGGAAAAGGAATACAGGCAGCTGTTGACTTACAGCGTATTGAGTTGAGAACATACTGCAATTTGTCAGCAATAGTTACTTGAAATAAGTTCCTTAAATCTTTTTTTATTGATTTGGATGTCTAAGGATAGAAAAGTAGTAGATAAGCAGTACTGGTATTAGCAGATGTCATCTGTTTTGTGTATAGAGCTGTTATTTCACTACTGAAAATTATGTGTTATTCAGTTATGTATGCATAAAAGTACATTTCTAAAGGGATTTGAAACTTCTAATTTATTTTCATATTTGTGGATGTTTGTGTAAAATTAGGTTTCAACTTTGGATGGTGTATTGGAAGTTCGAAATGAGCACTTTTGGACATTAGGTTTTGGCACTTTGGTAAGTTATGTCTATTGTCTTTTTAACCTCTAAAAATAAGTCGTCAATTGCTACTTCAAACTTTTTATTTAAGTAAAAATATTTCTTCTAAAATCTTAACTATTAAAAAATTGATGGAGTCAGTACACAGTCCTTGTGCTTTATTGCACAACTTCTCTTCCCCTGCCCTTTATATTTTTTAAAAACCTTGCTATTGGGTAATATTATTAATGTATACTGCAGTTCTGGATTAAAGCATGCATTTTGCAACTGTAGAATTTCTTTTGTATTTTGGCAGTGAAGAAAATCCCAAACAATAGTAAAGACGTTTTTCAAATGGTGTGTTAGTGTAAATTCTCTAGGAAGAGAGAAGAAAATTATAACCCTTCAGGTACCAAAAGTCTACAGTAGACAGTAGAATTGTATTTTTTCAGCATTTCTCGGGGAGAAGGTAGAACAAAAGTATTGAGTTGAGTACCAATAAAAAAAAAGAGAAGGGTGGGGGTTTTCTTTGTTTGGGTTTTTTTATTTGGTTGGTTTTGGTTGGTTTGGGGTTTTTTTTTGTGTAGGTTTTTTTGGGGGGGGAGGGATTTGGGTTTTTTGTTAATACAGAATGATCACACAGAACTTGGTTATTCATAAGTTGATGAGGGACGTTGTGACAGCCGGAAAATTAATACTCCTAGGTTATTTGTCTACTTCTGAATTCTTCCAGTATGCTACCCTTTTTAAAAAAAAGAGAAAAAGGCTGCAGTCCCTACTTGCTGATGTGAAAACAGCTTTCAGTTTACTATTCAGTCACCCAAAATATTGGATCACAGCATTGTTGGATTGATGACAGATATTTACAAAAACTTTGTATGCATATTTAGCTATTGACATCTTCCAGATTGTAGTAGAACCGTCCTGAGACCTGGATGTTTTCAGCTGCACCATCTGATGTAAAAATGGCTTGTACAGCACAAACCGTGAACCACGTTCTTTATTAAATATGTACTGAAAAAGCATGTGAGGGGTTCTGTGTTGTGTCCTGCTCTCTTCTGCAGCAGTAGATCAAGGTCAATGAGATAATGTTACTGAGAGGAAAGCAGGGGGAGCCTGCAGTTACATGCACTTTCAGAAAAAGCTCTAGGCCTGAGCTCCACACAGCCATTGCTGCTGTTCTTGCTGATGGTCCCCATCTGAGCCTGTTTGCCCTGCACATTGTCCTCTTTGCTTGCTCCAACAACACAGTGATGACACTTTTGCCTCAGTTTGGCATAGGAAGTTTGTCTTCACTTTGTTCTTCTTTTGAGCCATTTTTAATCCCCAACCATTGCCTTTCCTGCCATCACATGTTGTATTGTATAGTTTGGTTTTAAGACTCACTTTTCTTGAATTATGATCTTGAGACGTTCATAAGAGATCAAAGCATTAGGAGAGATCAAAATGTATCCTAAGTATGGAATTATGTATTAAGGTTCTTAATTTAGTCAGCAGTCTCCACTACAGAAGGTCTTGCCATAATTCTCTGCAGGATAACTTACTTCTTCTTTAATGCATAGAGAGAATCTTTATTGAAGTAACAGTTAACAGCCAACTTATTTTTATCACTTTCTAGGCTGGATCAGTACATGTCCGAATTCGGAGAGATGCAAATGAACAAATGGTACTTGCTCATGTCACTAACAGATTATACACGTTGGTCTCTACTTTGACCGTTCAGATTTTCAAAGATGACTGGATCAGACCTACCTTATCATCTGTGCCTATTGCAAACAATATTCTGAACCTTTCGGATCATCATGTTATTCCAATGCCATCTCTGAAAGCTGTTGATAACTTGAACCCTGTTACATCCACTCCAGCTAAGCCCAGCAGCCCACCGCCAGAATTTTCTTTTAACACACCAGGCAAAAATGTGAGTCCGGTCATCCTTTTAAACACTCAGACAAAGCCCTATGGACTGGGCTTTAATCATGGATCCACACCCTACAGCAGTGTACTCAATCAAGGACTTGGAATTCCGGGGATGGGAGCAGCTCAAGGATTCAGGACTGGTTTTACAAATGTCCCAAGCAGATACGGAACAAACGCTCGTGGTCAGCCCCGACCATAATAAACACCATTATTTATTGTACTTAAGGGTATTGACTTAATTCTTTTATTACCCAATTTTTATGAACATTTGGAATGTCAGATCATTCTAAATGGCTGGGAACAAGTGCATTGTTCATATTCATGAAATGGTTAAATTGCAACTTTTCTCTTCACATCAGCCTGTGTAATGCCACAGATATTTTCCAGACTTACAATACTTTACAAGTGGTTTTTATAGGATGTCTATTTCTACTCATCTTTTTATCCACTCTTCTTCATTCGTCCAAGAATGTATTGAGACATATAGCACAACTCCATAAGAGGGTATAATTGTGACCAGGTAGCATTTTTTTTCTAATGAGAATTGCTTACTGAATGATGAATAGCTGAGAGAATAGGAAATGGCAGAAATACAAGTCCCAATTCTCAGAGATGTTTTGATTGCTGTATTAAGCCATCTTTTGGCAACGTCACAATTAGTTTTTGGTTGCAGAAATCCATCAGTATTCATATTGTGGCCATTGTGAAGACAATCTGGCATTTCAGATTGTAATTAATTTTGTAAGACCATGTTTTTACATTTTTATTGATGCCTTTACAGAAATTCAGATGGCTCAGCAACCATTTTCTAGTTGTAAGTATTTCATATTCATCTCTGATATTTCTTCCTTTTTGGTTTAACTGCAAAATTATCTAGCAATATACTGGGAAATAAAATATTTAAAACCTAAAAGATTTTACAAGCACCTCTTTTTTACAATTAACCCTATTTAGGATACAGAGCAGATGACTGTATTGGTTCTGAAGCCAGTATTTAATTTTTGACTACGGAAAGTATTCTGTGATTTGATTGTGACTTTGTATTTTTCCTCTTTGTATTTTTTCTGTAGTTGCAGGGGGGAAAGTATCTGTTTATATTCCTGGTTTATATCCAGAGTGCAGGTCGGTGATCACTGACAGTTCTTAGTCATTGCTGGAGTTCTTGACCTTTGGGGTGCACTTGGAACAAGACCACCTAACTTGTCTTTGCTTTTGCATTACTGTTCTACTGTACATCTAGGTGGCCATATTTCTTCAGGGCCTTTCTCTTGGAGCTCTTCCCTCTGACTGTTGTCTTTTTCTTCACTGCTCTGACAACAGGGAAAGGCCTTTTAGAAATACTTCAGTTTTTTCTGTTCTCCTGTGTGGTATCTATCTTATAATTGCTCCTCTGCACATTCTCCTGCATCTCTTGGCTGTTGAGGAATGGGTTGCCCATTGCTGTTGTTTCACTTGCAACTCAGGGTGCTATGTATTGGCTTACACCTTGTTCATTTGTATACTGAGTGGTCTCTCCATCTGTCCGAGGTGGTTACATGGAGCTGTAGTATCTCAGGGATTCCAAAGATATTATGTTACCTGAAGATAATGGCTGTGATAGAGAAATCATTTTCTTGTACAACTGAGTGGAGAAAACAGCCTTCATTTGAATTTTAAAGATCTGTGGCCTCTTTACACTGACTGAGGATTTCTTTTTCTGCATGAGGACACTGCATTCCTCTTTTTGTTTCCCCCCCTCTCCATTTCTTTTGTTTCTCCAGCCAGTGCATGGAAAAGGGCGTCATTCTTGCAAACTCTTGTAAAAAGCAAGGTGACATTCTGCATTATGGTAACTTGTGGGGATATTTTAGGCTGGGGGTAATGTCCAGACTGCCACTGGGATACAGTCCGTGTAAGTTACAAGTAGGGAATCCAGTTCTGTACTTCATTTGCAGCGAGAGCGACAATTTCATTGCTGTTTTAGAAAATGTAAAGACCCGGAAAACTTGCATTTAACGATTACAGTGAACTTATAAAGATTGGCTCTGTTTTTATGGGGTCGGTATTCACTGAGTAATCGCCTCTGTTTCATTACACTGTCTTTTTGTGTCGTCTCTTACACGTGCCATTGCTGCATGGAAATTCTCTGAAGTACAGAACACTTGAGCAGATTCTTTGTACCTCTTGGGTGCTGAACTAGACTGCACTTTCTGCAGCATCTGCAACACCTTAGAGCCAGCAAAATGTTTACAATATACTACTCTTATGTGGCCTATCTGAGAATTGTTCCTTACTCCAGTTTCATAACCAATCACATGCCCTTTTTCTGACATTTTCAATAAGTTGTACTATATTGATTGCATGCCTACTTGTTTTTAGTAGAAAATTAAAGTTCCATTTTATGAAGTTGACCTTTGATTTAATATGAGAAAGGAGGACAAGAATCCCAGAGTTCTGAGTGCAATATAATCACTTTAACAAAAATATTTTTCAGAGTGATTGTTTACAGTATATACACATGTGCAGATGATAAAGATTCTTTTAGAGATTAGAATAGCTTTTTAGCTGCTTTATTGTTGTGAATATATTAAGAATATTTGTTAAATCAACACAGAGTAAAATGTCTCCTTTTATACGAGGAAAATAAAATCAGTGTAATTCTTAAATAACAAGGAAAAACTGGTAATTTGTGTATAAGATTTTATAGTTATCTTTTTATATATATTGATTGTTTAAGTGATACTCTGGGGTGATACATCAGTCTCAATGAGCAGATGTGTCAAACTTCAGAACTGTTTTGATGGGTCTGCTACCAACGTTCATTGGGTCCTTGGAATAATTCTACAGAAAGCATTTTTACTGCATTTTGTCTTTAACTGTATTTTGCTGCTAGGTGGTCACAATCTAAATGTTTATTTGCTATGTGGTGGATAAGAGTTGCTAATTTATATCATCTTCATTCCTAGTGATAGGAATGATGCCCCAGCTAGAGAGAAAAGAGGACTGGTACTCGTTGTCATTTGTCTGACAGAGATTTTGGCATTGTTACTCCCTTAAATTTTTCCAACTTGATTGAACAGGAAAACTTAGCTCTTAGGTAAATACATCAATTAGAGAGTTTGAGGGGCATGTACCATTATTTAGACTTAAGATTCTTGTGGGAAACTGCACTGTCCTGATAGAAAAGGAGCCAGAGCACATATTACAATATAAATAACTAACATAATACTGATTTTTTTGCAACTTTACATGTTGAGTTTTGACTCTTGAGCTCATTCAGTTCTGCATTCCGTTTGCCCAAGTAATAACCACATACACCGCTGGGAGGACAAAGCCAGCGACAGCATCTTGTGGATGGTAGACTGATGATTTTTATCCCCTTCCCCTTGACTGAGATGTGACAAATCCTATTCAAGGAGAGAACCTGTGCAGCAATTCTGCTGATTAGATAAGTTGAAGTCACTCTTTTGATTTCTGTCCCCTGCTGCCACCATCCAGCAGAGACAGAAACCATGCAGGGATAGGTTCTTCAATATAAAGCCTCTGTCTGAATTCTGAATTGATTATCTGTCCTGTGCTTGTCCAGACCCTATGGATCTCTGATACTTGGTCATATTCAACGTTGAAACTGAGAGTAGAAGAGATACCAGTCCTGGTCTTTTCACTTGTATTTTTTGTTTTCTGGGCATTTTATCAAATGGCTTTGATTTTCTCCTACCTGCTTTTTCTTCCCTGCCTTAGTAGCCATGAGAACCCACCTTGCAGTAGTCTTTGCTTCACTGACTACTTCAGGTTCTTGTGCTTTTGCAAGTCTAGATTCTTGGAGTCACATGGTTACTGGGTTGATGTAAATTTTCCTTCCAGCAATTATTTTTTAAATGACAGAACATATAAATTATGAAGATTATGACCCTCCCCTCTTTAAATAATCCTCTCCAGGGCTTGCATGCAGTTAGGAGACGACCCTCTTTTCCCGTACCAAAAAGAACCAACCCCAAAACCCAAGGTGAGAGGTGGGGGAAAAAGGAAGCCTTTTCACGTTTTCTTCGCATTTTGAGAAACATTGAATCATATTTCACCAAACTGTATCTCTTTTCTTTGAACTGAGTAAATTTGGTGTACTACATGGTTTAGTTATGGTTTCGACTAAGTCTTAATAGAGATTTAAAAAAAAAAAAAAGCCTTTTCCAGTTATAACAACCCTCTGATCCAGCATTTCATAATTAAACCTATTTTAAGGTGACTTTCAAATTCTTGAAGAAGCAGAGGAACAGTGCACACTGCAAATGTATACTGCATTTTTCAGAGGCCCTGTGAAGTATAAAGTACCACAGAAGTTCACCAGAATAAATCAACTGCACAAACTCATGTTTAACATTGCTGTGTATAGCCATCCTGTTACCTTTTTTTCGCCATGTAGGAGGGTGCAGAGGGTGCCTTATACCATGCAGAGTATTCAAACTTTAGAAGATTTCATTTTGTTTTTTAATTATTTTCTATTGGGCTGCAATAGAGGAGACTACGATTGCAAAGATTTCAAATAGCTTTGATATATTCACACAGATGTACAGTAATACCTGAAAATAAACACAGCTGTCCAGCTTTTTAGAATTTTCATTGTATTCTGTTTCAGAAGTTGCATGCAAAACAAACATTTCTCACAAATGTTAAAGTGATGGGAAAACATAAAATGCATTTGTTTCATCTTTAGCAACCAAAATCAGATGGAATTTTATTTTCAGGCTATCCTGTAATACTAAAATTTTACAAATTTTCATTGCTGTAAATGTGTATTTCTGTTACAACTTTAAAATATGGATGTAAATATTGTCTTAGGCTCAGAAATGTTTGCTTTAGGAAAATGGTAAAATACAGGGCAAATCTGACATCCTGACATAAGTCCCCATGGCTTATCTCCTTTTTAAGTCTCTTTGCTCAGGATAGAACTTTATAAGGGAAGAAGTTCAGAGGAGTAAAATACTGACTTGTTTTCTCTCAGTTCATCTTCCACCAGCTTGATAATTTTATTTTTTTCTTCAAATGTTCTAATCTTTTTCTCACCAGTGGAAACCATAATTCTGTGAGTAGCTTTTGAATACTGTTGTTCTGGCTTTCACTGATTTCATTCCAGGCTTTCTTTTTGCCAGTGTTGCACTAAACTTATTGAATAATTTCAGTAAGGAGTGTAAAAATACAGGCTTGCTAAATTGGTGAGTATCTTCTTGTTGCCTAAACAGCCGTTTTGCTTTTAGGTCATTTTATTTTTGATAGCACTTTGCCTTTAAAGTGGTATTTAGATAAAATGATCGTTTCTAACGTGATCATTTGCCGAATATGATTATTTCTGTTGTGGTTTGTATTAAAACAGCAGGTGGGTGGAGTTTGGGGGTTTTTTGGGGTCAAATTGTGAATGATTCTCATGTGATTGAATGGTGTGTGCTGGGGCATTGCTCCCACACACCACCTGATCTCTTTATATTTCCTGTGTTGCAGTCAAAGCACAATGGAACCCCACCACACCTTCCTGTTACCGTCACTCCTCACCACCATTCTCTGTCAAAAAGTATCCAACAAACAATTTGGGTATTACTGTTTCCTGGTGGCCTGCTGTCTGCAGAGCCCTTGCAGCCCCCTTCGTAGGGGAAGGAGGAGAGGGAGCAGAGAGGATTAAAAATCACATCCCATTTCAGGATGAGGTGGTTTAGGTCTGTTTTAGTGTGATCTTTTAGTGTTTCTTTTGATAACGTGGCATACATTTCCATTGCTGAACACTGCAAAAGTTGGTCACACCTTGTAAAAACTGTATCCGACACTTAAGTTGGCAGGCATTCCTTCCTGAGATCATGTGACAAAAACCAGTGATAACAATCTGGAAAAACTCTAGAGTTTTTTTATTCAGAGGTAGGACATGGAAAGATCAAATGCTTTCCAGGCTGAACTAGTTCTTATTTAATACTCTCTTGTTTGGCTACATGGAACACTGGGCCAGGAACAGCTGAATCAATAGTCGGTCTAGCAAGAGCTATCTTATTTTTCTTCGCTTTACTGCTCTCCAGTTCAATTAAATAGCAAATGTGAAGGTGGGCAAACAGTATTTAAAATGGAGTACAATTTGTTGACGTTTTGTCTATCACAGGTTGAGATATTCCAGTACAAACACTTGCAGGATTTTGTTGAGATTGTCAATAGTGGTTTTGTCAAGGTTTTCTTCTGTGTCCTCCATGGTATGCCATACTGCAGGAAAAGGGGACGGAATCAGATGTAGGACTGGAACCCCTATAAAAAGAAAAGTGAAATTTGGAGAAGAAATAGGAGAGAAATTCTGTTAAGCCAACTGTTACATTGCCATTTAGCAATAGAGTCAGGTAACTACTTAATAAACTTGCTTTATAGGGAGTGTCACTGCAGCTTCCTTTTTACCTTCTGAAGCTTGTGACTGCATCCTATAATTAAACTCTGTGTTCCCTTAAACTGTCACCTTCCTTTCCTTTGAGTACTCTTGCCTCCTTTTATTTTTAAGGCACCTGTAGTTACTTGTTGGGGTTTTTGTTTGAGATTCTTTTCATTGTAGGATATTTAGGAGACACAGAAGGGCAGAGAAACGACTGCAGCCCCTCAAATTGAAAACTGATTACCATGACAATGTTAAGATTGAGCATTTTGAAGCATTTTTTAGTTCTCCATAAAAGGGTCTCTTACTTCTGCTCTGTAAAATAGAACCACTCTTATCTTCAGATAAGGAACTTCCACTTGAAAAGATTATATCACTGTATACATTAGATATATAAATATATATATATATGCATCAAGTATACATACTGGAGCTTATAGACAAAAGAGGAATTAAATCAGACTTCTGTTTCCTGATCATTTTTGGTGGGGGAACATTGTTTTTTCTCCAGCCTTTTTCCTATTTTACTGCTTTTCCTCTCTCATTTTTCAGCTGTGTATCTTTAAGGAATCCATTTTCCTCACTAGGTGTTGTGTTATTAGAAAAGATAAGGTGTAGTCATTGTTTTCCCCTATCAGCTTCTCCCATGTAGGATTTTTATATCCCTGGACACACAAATGATGGCTGTGTTGGATTTGTTGGACCTGGGCCCTGTCTTGATGTGAAAAATGAAAGATTTGCGGAGTTGGAGAGCCATTGAGCAGGAGACATTAAGCACAACTCAGTGAAGAGAGCACTCACTTAGAAGTGGAGAGGTGTAGCTGCCCTTGTGCCTGCTTCCAGAGCTGTGTGCTTATTTTATGTTACTCAGTAGTTTACAGCTATGGTAAAATTAGGGACTGGATTATGAAGATACCTCCCTCTTTTCCTAGGGAGACACTCTCTTCATTGAACTTGTGTTGCATTCCTTTCTGGTCAACCCTTCTGTAGAAATGTGACTCTTGCAGTCCTTACTGTGCAGTAGAAAGCTTCAATCAGAGGAGTGCCACTAATCTACTACCCTTATTTGCCCCACCTTAGTTTTGAGGATGTTTTGCTGAGTGCTTAAACTAAGAAGCACATCAAGTCCACATCCTAAACTTAGACAAGTGCTTTAATTATTGACCTGCAGCTTGACAAGTGAGAAGCAGTACTACAGCTGCTTTCCCTTTCTTTGGTCAATCCCAAAGGAAAAGAATGAACACAGAACTATCACCTAGGTGTCTGCCAGAAGAA